CCACGGCTGCTGTCCCTGGTGGGGTACCGTGTCCCCTGGGGTGCCTGTACCCACCCCACGGGGATGCCCTACCCCACGGGGATGCCCCACCCTGCGGGTGCTGTATCCCATGGGTGCTATATCCCATGGGTGCTATAACTTGGGGGGTGCCCTGTCTCCCCATGCCCCATGCCCCGCCTTGGGAGCACCCACCCTGGATGCATCCCCACCGCAACAGCCCGCAGACCCCCGGGCCCCTCCCTGGGGCACATGTTGGGTGGGAAGCCCCCACGGTGGGATGACAGTCTGGAGTGGGGGTGGCAGCTGGGGGGGACAGGCACCCCGTAACCCCCTCTCCCATGCAGGGGCTCAGCGGTGAGGGCCAGGAGATGTACGAAACCCTCCAGATCAAACGCTCCTGACCCCGTCCTGCCACCGTGCTGCAGCTGCCCCTCATCCCCCGTCTGTCCCCTGCAGCCGGGGACCCCTCCTGGCCCCCCCGGTGCCCCCCTCCTGGGACTGTGATGGAGAACTGGAGCTTTTTCCCCCTGAAAATAGCTGGTTTTGGCCCCAAACCGCCTCCAGCCGGGCACGAGCGCAGCCTGAGTGCTGCCGTGGGGCTGGGACACCCTGAGCTTGGGGGGGCTGAAGCTGCCCGGGGTGTGTGGTGCTGCCCCCCACTTCTGCTGCCCCCCCCCCTCCCAGTAAAGCGGCACCATGCACAAATGGGGCAGGAGGGTTTCTGTAACGGCGGGGTGAGAGCTGGGGACGGTGACAATGGCACCAGCTCCTGGTGGGGCTGGACACGGCGTGGGGATGGGGACGACGGCGTGGGCTGCCAACAGGGACCGGCACCCGCCAGGAGCAGGGACGGTGGCACCGTCTCCTGCTGGGGCCAGGGAACCCCTGGGGACGGTGGCACCATCTGGTGGGGACGGAGCCCGTGGGGACAGGGACACCGTGGTGATGGGGAGGGTGGCGCTGGCTCCCGGTGGCAGCTGCCGCATGTTTCTGGATGGGAGATGCTCTCGGAAGAGAAAAACACCATTTCCCCCTGTTTAATCAAAAAGCTGCATTTTTGGGACCAATACCATGGAAATGGCTCCTGTGCCTCCCCTGGCCCTGCAGAGCCCTGGCGGGGGGAGCTCCCAGCACCCTCGGGGGTCTCGGCACCTTTCCTGAGACACAGCCGGAGCCCAGCACCCCCAGCCTGGGGGGAGCCAGCAGGGCCGGGACAGGGAGAGCCCCGGGGGTGGGGGGACCTGCTGGAGGGAGGGGTGAGGGGGAGA